CTTGACTGGAATCGAACCTGGGACCCTTGAGTCCGCAGGCTGATGCTTTATCCACAGAGCCAAACCGGTTTCAGCCAGATTTCTCTTAAAATGCGACTAGCCCCTGAGAGGGTTTATATACAAGTCTTATTGACAATGGGAACCTCACCATGAATTCATTTAGCATATTAGTTCCTTGGAGCATATTTTCATTGAGGGTGTAGGAGGCACAGGAGGGTAAATAGAAGAAAACTGAGAGGAGAGGCAGAGGGTACTTCTGATGGGGGGACGGGGGAAGGAGGGGAGGGAGAGTAGAAATGGAGAGATGAAGACAGTTACTAGAAGCTTCCTTCCTAAGTCACTTCTGAGATACAGCTGTGAACCAGAGTGAGGGCTAAGACAAGCTAAAATGACAGCTACCATTAGGAATAAATTGAATTATACAGATTCTCTGAGCTCTAATTTAGTGCCAGAGCCAGCCATCTTTTCACATATTATTCTCCTTGGTCATTTTTGGCATGGCTCAAGACCCTTTATGGGCTAGCATTAATTTGCATCCAGAAATCAGACCCAATATTCATAGCATGTAACTGCAGCTGTCCCATCTTGTCAGCAAATACCAGCTCCCCAAGCAATGTATTCTACCTGGACAGAACTCATGTCATAAGCTTAGCGGTTTTCAACTGTCATCCAGTCTCCTTGTGGATTCCTCATCTATAAAAGTTTAATTCCCACTTGGCCAGTGTGGCTCAGTGGTTGGGCATTGACCTATGAACCAGGAGGTCCTTGTTCAATTCCTGGTCAGAGCATATGCCTGGGTTGTGGGCTGGAACCCCAGGGTGGGGGTGTTCAGGAGGCAGCCAATCAATGATTCTCTCTCATCATTGATGTTTCTATCTCTCTCTCTCTCCCTCTCCCTTCCTCTCTGAAATCAATAAAAATATTTTAAAAAAATAAAAAATCACTTGTTCTCCTGTGCAAGTCTTCTAAAATTCTTTCTCAGGATATGGCAAGAATTCCATTCCAATGAGGTGAGGACGAGGACCCCCCACTTTTACAGGTAACAGTGGGAAGCTGCAGAAATCATAGAAACTGACCTTGTCCAAAGCCAAAATAGAGAAGAGGGCTCCTACATAAGTTAATATTTGTATTTCCCCCTCACATCAGCTCCAAGCATCTAACACTGTGTTATAAAGGCCCAACAGCCATTTCTTGGTTAATTGATTCTCCAGACCTAGGGTGGGGGCAGGGTAAATGATAAAATTTGAAAATGTAATATGAAAAATAGAAAAGCACAAAAGGGAAAGGAGACAAGAGAACATTCTAAGGAAGGCTATTTTGTGTGTCAGCCCTGCTAGCCTTGCCATGGAGGGAGATGACACATCAGTCCCTTGAGAAACACTAAGTAAAGGCTTGCCTGGTGGTCTTTTATTGACGGTCCTATTAAATGCCCTAGGCCTGTGGTCGGCAAACTGCGGCTCTCGAGCCAAATGGTGGCTCTTTCACAAAATACCACAGCCTGGGAGAGTCTATTTTGAAGAAGGGGCGTTAGAAGAAGTTTAAGTTTAAAACATTTGGCTCTCCAAAGAAATTTCAATCGTTGTACTGTTGATATTTGGCTCTGTTGACTAATGAGTTTGCCGACCACTGCCTAGGGCAGGTAGGTGGAATTTGCTTGACTACCATTAAAGAGAAAACCACTGGCCCAAAATGGAGTCACCTGGGCTAAAGCACCAAACCCAGATTTCACACCTGCCCGTTCAACCTTCTCCCAGAATGCCATGTCGGTCTGTCAATCTGGAATTTTCTAGTGGGTACCAAAGAGGTAATGTGTCACCTGGGTCCATTCCATCCCTCCCAAGGAAGTCCAGTTAATCTGCATGATAAAACCTTCTGCCTTCCGCCTAAGGAAGGGTAACCTTGCCTGGGCCGATCTTTCTTTTCTTTTGCTAATAACTTTTTCATCCTGCCCAGCTTCAGCCCCTGGCAGCCTTCCGTTTTGCCTGGAAAGCTTGCTAGCTGGAATGCTCCCAAAAGCTAATTCCATCTTCAGATTTAAACTTGATTGAATTTTTGTCCTTTAACACTGTTTTGTCCCTACCCTGATTCTTCTCCCGTTTTTAACCTTGTAAATACGCTCTAAGACACACACACCCAGTTCAGGCTCCTGCTCGTGCCTGAGCCTTGCTCTCCTAGGGCAGTGGTCGGCAAACTCATTAGTCAACAGAGCCAAATATCAGCAAACAATGATTGAAATTTCTTTTTTTATTATTGATTTTTTACAGAGAGGAAGGGTAGAGAGTTAGAAACATCGATGAGAGAGAATCATCGATCAACTGCCTCCTGCACACCCCGCACTGGGGATGTGCCCGCAACCGAGGTACATGCCCTTGACCAGAATCGAACCCGGGACCCTTCATTCCGCAGGCCAACGCTCTATCCTCTGAGCCAAACCGGTTTTGGCTAAAATTTCTTTGGAGAGCCAAATTTTTTAAACTTAAACTTCTTCTAACGCCACTTCTTCAAAATAGACTGGCCCAGACCATGGTATTTTGTGGAAGAGCCACACTCAAGGGGCCAAAGAGCCGCACGTGGCTCTCGAGCCGCACTTTGCAGACCATGGTCCTACGGTAAACATTCCACTTTTTTTTCTTCCCCTTCTTCAAGTCTCAGCACAAAATTTTCTGGGCCTAATTCACATCTTTCAGGTTTTCCTCATCTCTGAAATATCTAGGAATAAGAAAAATATGGGGGGGGGGGGGGATGGTAAAACCTATTACAGTTGCTGTGAGGATTAAATATTATATATATACTTGAAAAACTTGTTGGAAACTGTAAAGGACTATAAAATTAGGCGTTTCTAGTTTTTATTCCTAAAGTGTTGTTTTTTTTGTTGTTGTTTTAATATAACCACTGAGCCAAACCAGTTTTGGCCCTAAAGTGTTTTTGATGGTTACAATGAGGGTGCTAGGGTGTTTGGCTGCTGCGTCTCAAGGAGGAGATGAAGATATTACCAAGAAAAATCCACTCTACTTAAGTGGAGGTTAGCTCACCTTGCACAAGGCAATTTGAAGAGGAGTGAGTCTGTTTTAAAAAACTGGAGGCGTGGGAAAATAAAATATGCAAATACAGAGCCCCAAGGCCTGGGCCCCCTCCACCTCCAGGCACCCAGCGGCAGGTTTGTCAGGGACCAAAACAGAATATTGGGGACTACTATGAGGTATAAGAAATATGAATCACGCCCTGTAACAGATTGTGTTGTTCTGAGTAGAGAAAGCACATTATAACCTGGATGGCAGCTGTACTCCCCCAGGACCTGGGAGTCAACCTTGGAGTGTGGTCCATTATCACATCATCACAGATTAACATCCTGTTACCCAAACAATGTAATCTGTAACCATTATACCCAGTTTTATTGTTTTTGCCTACTTCCCCATGCCTGTAATATCCATTTTGCATACTCATTCTTTTTTAAAATATATATTTTATTGATTTTTACAGAGAGGAAGGAAGAGGGATAGAGAGCTAGAAACATTGACCAGCTGCCTCCAGCACACCCCCCACTGGGGATGTGCCCACAACCAATGTACATGCCCTTCACCGGAACCAAACCTGGGACCTTTCAGTCCATAGACCGAAGCTCTATCCACTGAACCAAACCTGTTTGGCTACTCATTCTTATTTCTTTTGCCTACTTCCCTATGTAATCTTTATCCTACCCCGTATAAGCAGCTGACTTAGGGGGTGAGGGGAGGGCAGCTTTTCATCAATGACCCACAGCTCTCACATACTGCTAGCATTGGAATAAACACTCCTATGATTGACCCCCTGCTTAATTGGCTCAGGTAGTGACAGGCAGCTGGGACTCTGGTTGTGGCCTTTCAGGCTGGCTTCTGGGGGCGTTTCTCTGCTGTCTTACCACCAGGTCTTGCTCCCAAGCCCACGCCTACCGGCCTTGGGGAGCTAAGACTTCAGGTCCTGGGGGTTTTAACACTTTCCAGTTGACCAGGAATTCTAAAACTTCCTCAAGCAGTATACCTGCCACTTCGGGGTGTCCTGCACACTCCATCCGTGGAAAGAAGGCCAGGAAAGTTATGGTATAACAAAGTGAGACTAAAGGTCGTAGAAAGAACAGGCGAGTCTTTTTTTTTAATTTTTTATTTGAACAGGCGAGTCTTTGCAGCAGTTCTACATGCTCTGGGTTAGGGGAAAAGACAGACTTGGGATTCGAATCCCATGTTTCGCCAGGATGTGGGAAACGCCAGAGCAATCTCGTGTAATTGAAAGAATACCAGGGGGCTGCAAAGGAAGTGCGGGACGGGGTATGCGGGGCCAGGTCAACTGTCTGCAAAGGAAGCGGAGCCCTCCCTTGTCTGAGGCTACCTCTGGGCAGGCCACGGTTCCTAAGTGTGAGGGTGGGCGGATTACCAGCTAACCGCCTTCACCGAAAGGGCCTGGGGTGTTCCGGTTTCAGGCCCGCCCGCTACTGAAATCAGCCATAGAAACCACTTGAGAAAACAGTTCTTTCGTTCTTAGTTCCAATGAGGTGTAAAAAAAAAAATAAAAAAAAAATGCAAGAAGCATGAACCGTGCCCAGAAAATGCTGCTGCCAGTGCAATCGGGGAGCGATCTAGGAGACAGCTGGAGGAAGATAAACTGGGCAGCCAAGGCGCGTGCAGCATGTCATGAAAACTGCACGTGTGTGCGCGCACACACACGCCACGGTGTGCAACGTCAATGCCGAAACGGAAAGCGTGCAAGCGGCCGAGTCGCCCGCAGTTCAGGTCTCAGAAACCGAGAGCCGCTGCTTCTGCGCTTGCGCCGAAACTGCGCTTCGCCCCGCCCCCTTAGAGCCCCGCCCCCGAGCCCGCTAGCCCCGCCTACCTCCCCTCCTCTTCCCAGCCCCGCCGGCGCCCGCGCATTGCATTGTGGGACACAAACAAAGTGCCCCCAAACAGGCTGGAGTGAGCGCAACGGCAACGGCGGCGGCGCCGTCCCGCACGCGCGCTCGGCGGCGGCGGCGGCGGCGGCTCCCTCCCAACCTCCCCTTCCCCTCCCCTCGTTCCCTTTCCCCTTCCCTCCTCCTCCTCCCCCCCCACCCCCACGCCCGGAAAACGCGAGCCGTCGCCGCGCTGCCTTCACACCGCCGCCTGCCCGCCTTCGGCCAACCGCCCCCAACGGCCGTCCCCTCTCGCTGCTCCTCCCCTTCGGCTCCTCGGGAGCATCGCGGGCTCCGGCCTCCCGCCGCTCCGCGCGCTTCCCCCGCTCGCGGGCACGTTGTTGCTGCCAGGCGCCATGCCCCGGCCGCGGGCTGCTCGCGGGCCTAGGCGCGGCGGCCCGAGATAGGGGCCCCCGTCCCCCGGGGGAGGAGAGAGGCTCGGGCCGCGCGCTCCGCCCCCTCCCCCCGGGCTGTCGCCGCCGCCGCCGCCGCCGCCGCCTCGCTGCCCCAGCTGGCGGGGAGGAGGAGGAGGAGCACCAGGCCTCGGTCCCCGCACCGCCGCCCGCAGGTAATGGGGAGCGGAGGGGAGGGGAGGGGAGGAGGGGGCGAACCTCGGCCAGCCGCCGCTCGTTGCCTGCGCGCCCTCGAGGGCCCCTGCTCAGGGGCTGACAACTGCGCGTTCCCCCCCATCTGGGCGCTAGACGGAAAGGAAAGCCTTGGGCTGGTCACCCTTATCTGCGTGAGAGACACCCCACAGGGTCCCCCCCCTCTCCCCCCTCCCTCCAATGGTATTTAATCCTTCGGGGAGGAGACTGGCCCCTCTTGCCGGCGCTGCACGTCATTAGGGTGCCAGTTGCCCGATACCCTAATCCGGAGGAGGCTGAGGGGTTCCCTCCTCTCACCTGGGCGACCCGGGGAGCCCCCAGACCTGATTGCCTTTATTCCCTCTGCTCCCTGGCTGCGTTTTCTCTAGAGCTGGGAAGGAAAAGGAATGGCACGTCTTAGGAAAATCAAAATCAAAATGCAATCACTTCTTTTCCTTCTCTACCTGAGGATCTCTCAGCAGCTGGTCGTTTTCTGCTGGCCTAACGAGAAAAGGGGGTTAACCTGAATGATAATTACGTTAGAACTAAGGAGAGGAAATCATGTCTTTCTGAGTTAAATGAATCGTAATTAACCAGGTTAACAACCCAATAATTGTGTACCTTCTTGGAACTTACAACAATGAAGGCAAAAATTTTCAACATATAGGTAGGTAACTAGATCTGTTGGCGGTTGGGGGGGAAGGGGGAAATCTCTAAGTTTCACTTATTTTCTGACTAGGCTAATACCAAAAGCAAACTTCACAGTTTGGTGACAAGTAGTTTGCATAGGTAGAGATTTTTATGGTTTTCCTATGGCTTGTTGACGGTTTTCCGTTGGAATTATTGGATAAAGCAAATATTTAAATCTTCATTTCCCCCCATTACTTCACATCAACTGCCACTGGATATTTAATTTTACCTAAAGTTGTTTCTTAATATGGGTTGTGAAAATAATGCTTTTATGTAGTCTTGTAATTTGGAGTGATTGCATTCATTCATTATGAGAACCAGATGAACTTATTTTACGCAGCGCTGCTAGCTAGGCATTTTACATACGTGATCTTACTTAATTCTCAGGACAACCCAACAATTTAGATATTGTTACTTGAGTTTTATAGATGAGACAAAATTAAGTGATATTAAGTAATTTGCCTTAGGCCACACGACTAGTTAAATAATAGAGGTGAGATTTGTGGCCAGATAGAATTCCAGTGTAGGTGTATTTTCTACTGTACCTCAGATGGGTACACTTGTTAAAAACTTGATTATGAAAAATTTCAGTCTTAAGGAAGTTGAGGAAAAAAATACAATGAACACTTTATTACCAAATTAATATTGTTCCCCCTCTTCTCCCTTTTTGTGTGTCTCGCATGTGCTACTATTTGAGAACAAGTTGCAAACATCTTGAAATGCAAATATTCCAGTATGCGTGTCCTAAAAATAGACACCTTTTCCTACTAACCCCAATTATCAACATATATAAATTTCCTTATTGAGCCAAAGTCTCTTTGGGAATCCCCCTAAAGCCATAGCTATATCCAATCAAGCTTCATGCATTGCATTTGGTGATTGTCTTTTTTAAAAGGCTAGCCTGACAGCTGATCAAACAAACTGTTTTATAGAATGCTCCCCCATTCAGACTTGTTGCCTCATACTATTATGCAATTTATTCCTCTGTCCCTCTGAATTTTCTGTGGCTGGAAGTTAGGTCTAAAGAAAAGCTTGATTAGCTTCAAGTTAAACTTTTCTCTGGCAACAAAATTTAATAGGTGGTGCTATGCACTTGTGATTGCACCTGGAGGAGGTGCATCCTATCGGTTTGCCATGCTATCAGTGATGCTAAGTGTGACCACTTGATTAAAGGACTACAGATCTATTACAGAGGTGTAGTTTACCTGTTTGTGATTTGTGTGTAATCCCGAGGTAGTACTTAGCACTGCTTTTGGTAAGAGAAAGGGTATCTTTTTAAGAAGTCCACTGGGAAAATGGAGATTGCTTGTGCTTTGGACCCATTCACTTGCATTCTGTCTTTAATCTTAGTAAAAATAGACTGTCCAAGATGCAAGTAATAAAATAAAAAAAAGGCCACAAATAAGAACATAGGTATGTATGCAGCTATACCCTTTGTGGTAGATTGAATGGACTAAATATTATGAAGGTGATGTTTACTAACTTTTGTTGAGCTCTTACAAAAAGCCAGCACTGTGCTAAACATTTTTACACATATGATTTAAATCTCTCACTGAAAGATAAATAAATCTCATATTGACCCATTCATATGCTGCTAGTATCTTTTTTAGCAAGTCAGGAGCATGCTCAATATCCAGGTTTCAATCTAAAGTCTGTTGGTCTTCAGGGCTGGAGCTTAACCACTTTGCTATAGCTGACAACTAAGTGTAACACGTGATAAAAGTGAATATATTCTCATTCACCACGACTGGTTTTTGTCCTGTAGCAACACTGGAAATTGCCTGCCCAAGAGCCCCACGTGCTTTGTCATGTCTATTATAGCAGACCTTGCTTCAAAAACTGCATTTAGAGAGCACTTTAGTAGGCATTTGAAGAGTAGATAAAACATCAGCAATCGAGATGGATTAATAGTTAGATATATGAATGATAAAACAAGTATGTATAGTAGAACGTTATTGGTAGAATCTAGGTCTGGCTGTTTAGGCACTAACTTGTAAATTTATTTAAATTTGCTGTATCTGAAAGTTTGCATAATAAAATGTAAGAGTGGTTGAAAATATATTCTTCATTGACAGTTGTATAAAAACCAATAACATGCTATATCCTCTATGTTGACAGTGGTCTTCTTAAACTTTGAGTAAGTGTTCCTGGCCTTGAAAAGATACAACTGTTTTGTCACTGAAAATGGCAAAGCATCAAAGACTATTGCAAAGAGGCTTCCTGTATTAGTTAGAGGGTTCTTAAGTAGTTAAGAGTCCTTCCGATTATAATTTTAAAATATTTTTATAAATATTACATATATTGTGTTTCCCTGACATTTTATGGTATTTTCTAGGCTGCTATTGAGCATGCTCTTTATATAAGCTTTATCGGCTGTTTTTACTTTAAATCTACCATATTCATGACTGAAATAGTTTTTTATATACTTCAGAATGACTGCTTGAAATTTATTAAGCCAAAAGATACATTAGTTTTTCTTTGTTGTTGTTGTTAATATATTTTTATTGATATCAGAGAGGATGGAAGAGGGAGCTTGACCGGAATCAAACCTGGGGCCTTTCGGTTCATAGGCCAAACCAGCTAGGGCTGTTTTTTTTTTGTTTGTTTTTTAATTTGTTGGGGTGACATTGTGTTTTTTTTTTTGTTGTTCTTTATATTAGAAGTACTTCACCCCATTTTAGGCAGTGAGATGGAAATCTATTTTCTTAATCACCAGATCTAAAATAATGATTATATATGTGCTTTTAAAAATAGAAAGATAAGTTAGATTTATATTATACTCCTGCTTGAAGGGCACATTGAGTATTGCATTAATTTCTTCACTAACATTATTATTGGTGCCAAGGGTGACCTTAGCCAGCACATTTTTACATAACTGATCCAGGAATAAATCACTGACTTATATCATAATCATATTTCACATTGATAATTCTGTCTTATAAGAGTGAAAATTGGTGGATGAAACTTAATAGCTTACTCTTCTTGGAGAACGTCTTCCTTGTCTCCACATGGAATGTTTTTCCATTTTAATAATTTTCTTGTATACCTTTAGAAAATACCTTAAAATAGAATTGGATACCCAGTCAGTTTGTAATTTTGATAGTCTTAAATCGCTGTCTTTCTACAGGTATTAAATGGTCTATTTCTTTATGTTGATGTGATTTGCTATTCATTTGGTTTTGACAGTTCTGATGCATTCAACTATAAACATCTTGGGTTTAACATATAACCAAGACCATGAATCTCTGGATTTTGTAGAACTTTAACCCTCAGCTTCTGAAGCAATTTAAGACAATTTTTTAAAAATGATTTTCTCTTTAATTCAGTTCTTAACCTGCTAAGTATTTGAGCCTAGCTTTCTCTTAGTAAGTAAGCATATTCAATATTACCCACTATTCAGTATTTTATTTGTGCTCCTTGATAAAATTAGGAAATTCTTTAGTCCTAACAAAGAAAACAAAAGGGTTTTCAGAGACTCAGACATACTTTACTTCCATTTCATTTTCCTCTTTTACTGGTGATTACTGGTTGTGTATGTATTTTCATCCACTTTTACCTTTTCTTCATTTTTAACAGGTTGACTCTCTGGGTTCTACTTTTTCCTTGGTTCTTTGCTTTGGATTTTCCAACACTGCTCATTTTCTTTTTGTGACTTCCCATTACTGAATGAGGACAGTTTCTTTTGTCTTTGGTGTATTTTATGTGCAATATAAAACTACAAACATACTTCTATGAGAAGTTTTTCTATTTATAGGAATCACTGCCTGTTTCTGATTTTATTTAATATGTAAAATAATTTTTTTAAAAATGACTGGTACATATAAAGTACAATGTAAGTACTATTAATGATTACTATAATTTTTTTTGAAATTGATACAAAGTCCCTGCTTTTGTTTTTGACACTTTATTGAGATAGAACTTAAAAACCATAGATTATTGCCACTACACATTTGTGGTCTTCAGTTTCAATTGGGTTTTCAGTGCCTCCTAGCCATCCTTAATTTCCTTGTCTCCACACATATTTCTCATGTTTTATTTTCCTCAAAATTCTACTTTATTTTCAGTCATCTACCTCTACCTCTAATTTCAAAGAGAAATAAAAGGCAACACTGTCAGACAAGAACTCCTATTGCTTCTTACCACCCATCTTTAAGCCTAACTAACTACACACTTCCTTTTCTTTTTTCCTTATCCTGGATCTCCTGTTTAAGGCCAGGCCATTCACTGGGCACTGAATCCAATTCCTTTCCATCTGCCCAGAGAGTTATGCTGTTATCACCTTTACAATTTCTTC